CCCGCCTTTTGCCAAACTTTTTTTTCTCCCTTTTCAAATCTCGTATCACATCGTGAAGGCATTTATTTTCAATAAAAATTAAGGAAATAAGTTGAACTCAAAAAGTTGAAAATAAGTATCGGGTTTGTAAATAGGTATTTGCACTTAGTGTAAATAGCATATTGCTAAAAATACTGCTATTTTCACTTAGTGTAAATAGAATCCATTGCTAATACGAGATTTGGGAGAAAAGGGAGGAAAAAATTTCGGCAAAAGGCGGGATCGAACCCGGGTCAATCGCGTCAAAAAGCCAATGATACGTGCTTATCCATCTGCACCACTGGAGCTGATGATTCACAGCCACTTTTAACTAAATGTAACAGAAATAAATGACATTTTAATATATATTTAAATAGAAAGCAGTTGTTTTAAATAGTAAAAAAAAAATCACAATATTACTGCTTTTGCTGTATTTTGGATCAAATAAATGCAGGTTTGGTGAGAAAAGACTTCTTTAAAAAACATAAAAAAATATTACTGTTCAAAAACTTTTGACTGGTAGTGTATGTATCACACTCATATCACATCTAGTTGTTTTGGATAAGAATAAAATGTCAGGTCGGACAATATCATGTCTTTTTTAATTTAAATCTAGATTTATTCGCATTGGCCCATGGAAACCTCTATGAACACACTTGACTTGACTAAAAAAGTGCGGGGGACGAATTTACATTTTATTAAAAAGTGTTTACGTATTCTACATTCATGGCGCGCACACACATTAGGATAGGTTAGATGTCTGCCTCCGTTGCGAGTCCCTATCAAGCACTTTACCGATTCAACTACTCTCCTCTCCTCCTCCTGCCTGGCTCTTTGGCCAGCATCACTCACCGCAGAGCGAGCCTGTTCTTGATAAATCTGCTGTGAAAACGTGGGAAAAGCCGACGAGGACGAAGTTGGAGTGAAGCGATCTTTATATAGGCGAAGCTGCTCATTCAGATATTTTTTGTGTAGTGTGCACATACTGCATTCAGACAACTTATGAAAACATTACCAATCACAATTTCCATGACAATTAAGCTTTTTTTAAGCAAAACTAATTTACTAGCAAAAAT